TGGTCCTACAATATGTATATATTGATCAATCTTAAAATCATTGAACAATGCTTTCTTTACCTTTTCACTGGTTGAAACAGTATGTTTAAGATAGACATCTATAGATGTCTCTTTATATCAACCTTATGAAGATAACATAAGGTAGTTCCATTGTTGTTATAATTTCATTTATGGACTCCCAAAGCCTAAAAGATAGAATTATCTTCTTCACCTTTTTTTTTCCATCACTTGATTTTAAATACTATGAATTTGACCATTCCTATGATGTCATCATTGATTTTAAGGCCATATAATTTGTGATTTCGTTCCTTTTGTTGAATTAATTTTAAGGCGATGTAATTTACAACAAACCAAGTGATGTCAAAGTCTAAGTATCTCGACATTTATAAACTTTCGCATTAAGTAGGCCGAATGATGATTGTATATGAATTTTATTATCAACCGTGCCCTTGTCACAAACTTTCTTGCTAATGGTAACTTACCAATGTATTTTATCATAAGGTCCATGCAATGAGCTACACATAGGGTCCAAAGAAGTGTTTCCCTTTACAACATCAATGATAAGCTAACATTCTTAAAATTAGCTCTATTATTGATCATAATTTGGACAATTTACTATGGTCAGAATCTCCTCTACTACTATGCCCATTAGGCTTTTAATATAATTTGCATCTTAAATTTTATTGAAAGTATTAACCAACATATAAAATATGATACTTATATTGCAATAGATATGAAAGTTGATGATAGGTCCATCTATCACATATTGGTGTTATCTCATACTTATCTGATTATCTCTCGAAGTATTTGATCCAATACTTTAGTTTTATCACATTCTCATTTAAATAAATATCATATATCCCCCTAATGTAGGAGGTTGAATCCCTATGTTAGCTTTTGGATTGAAAATATGCTTTGATAATATAAACCCTAAGCTATGTTTGTTGGAATCATGTGAAAGTTGAATCATCTTGTTATTATTTTATCAATATTCGACTTCTTTTTTTTTTTATAGGCATTATCAATTCGTGTCTATTTTGTTGTTTGTGGAGGATAGGCTTGAAGATCGATATCAACAATATCAAATGCCGATCTCCACTAAGCGCTCTAATAAAATATCTATTCTACCCTATCTCATGCTATCCATTATGCTTAATTGAGAAGGAGTAGTTAACTATCTCATGTTAGTATTCCGCTAGAATCCCTATGGCCCAGACCACTACTATCACCATGCTCTCATTGTGAGTTAGTGTATCGGTATTTTATTGCTTCCTCGTACATATATTGATACTCTAGTAGTGCATAAATACTAACTCTAAAATTTGAGTTGACATCATCATTATGACCCTCATCCTTATCATAAATGAGTTCCTATGCTTGTATTCGTCCTATTATTTAACCTTCTCTGGCATTATATCGTTCTTTGCCTGTTGTAGCTTATCTTGAAATAATTTATGGATCTTTATCGGAACTTTTTTGTATTTTACAATGTTGAGATAGTCACCAATCAAATGTTGTTTCAATTAAGTGATTCTAATATAGTCACAATGAATACATTACCAATGATGATAGTTGTTATCCAAATGGTTGGCATGATCCGAAGCATCATCATATACCTATTCCTTTGATATTATGTTCCTACAAATATTTATCAAATTAACAAACTATGATTAACCTTAATTATTATTAAATTTTAAATAAAAACTACTATAATTATATATAATGAATCATATTTTGTCACTATAAATATGTCAATCATCTTAAAAGGTATAAACCGTATAGAATTGACCCAATATGGGTCTAATTTTGAGGAAGTTAATATTAAATTTACTAATTATAATATTAAAAAATTATATTATTACATAATTATCCCTCTTTTACTATTATAAGTATATCAATAATCCCAATAAGCATTATCTACATAAAATTAACACAATATAGGACTAATTTTATTGAAATCTATATTAAATCCACTAATTATAGCATTAAAAAACTATATTATTACATAATTAGTCTTCTTTTATTGTTGTAAATATGTCAATCATCCTAATTAACTATATAGAATAGAGCTAATCATGTCATAAATTAATATAAAATTAGAAAGAAAATATATATACCTCTTAATATTGAATCTCGGATTTTGATGATGAAATCAATTGATGTGTTTGATCTAATCTGGATTTTAAGTGACATAAGGCTAGCTTCGATCAGAACAGGTAAAACTATTAAAGCAGGAGGAATCAGACATTGGGCCGAAGCAAACATGTCAGTAGATTGGACGTTGGGCCGGAGGATCAGTCAACATGTCGGTAGAAGGCTTCGTGCCATGAATTTGGGTATTAGGCCTAGAAGAGCAGACATTACGCCAAGAAGATTGGAGTTGCGGAGTCAACATGCCGATTGGACAAAAGGTCGCAAAAGAGGACAATGTGCCGAAGGATCGAACGAAGCGCCGGATGAATCAATGACATGTCGGACAATATGAGAGTTACTTGTAATCATTTATGCCTAGATCGGGTTAGTTTAGGTCTAATTGAGTCGGTATTTGGGTGAAACAATGTCAACTCAATTAGGTGTCAATTGGGCCTAAATTGGGAGTGATTTGGGCTCATTGAGAGGCCCTTTCAATGGCCCAAATGTTGGACCAAGCTGTGGCACCGCCAGAACAAGCGGTAGAACCTCATGTGAATTGGAAAACTAAAAAAACTCGATCTCTGAAGTTGTCAGGCGGTGGTACCACTAGACCTTGGAGGTGGTACTGCCCAGTGTCAGGCTATAGGTGATGGTACCGCCCAGTGCAGGCGATGGTACCACCTAGTGTAGGCAATGGTATCGCCCATACTTGGAAGATCTGAAAGTTTAAATTTTTTTGCTCCATTTTTGAAACCATTTAGGACTTATAAATACCCTATTTGGGTAGCAAGAAAGGAGCCAGAATTCTAGAGAAAAAAAAACTGAGTAAACTCTGCCAAAACATTGAGTTCCCTTCTCATAGTGCTTAGAGTTAGTCCTAAGGGAGGTGTGTGGGGGAATATTTGTAAAAGAGTAACTTGTAAAGATTATCTCCTAAACTTGTGAAAAGGAGAAAGTGTTGTAAGAGGGTAATTGATCTTCACCCATTGAAGGAAGACCGATAGTGGATGCCGGTGGCCTCGACGGAAGAAGAATCGGGAGTGGATGTAGGTCACGATGACCGAACCATTATAAAATCTGGTTTGTATTTACTTTAACGTTTTTACTTACATTGCAAACTACTTTACTTACTACGCTTCCGTACGTTTTCAATTTTAAGCTATCTTTCCGAAAACGATTTTAATCGAACGAAAATTTGTTAAAATCGATGATTTTATCTGCTGCACTAATTCACCCTCTCCTTGTTAGTACCGACTCATTCATAACACTTAATTATAATGATCCTCTCTTCTAAATGAAGTGCTATAATATCTTAAACCTCTCAAATGAGCCTTTCAAATTAGAGTAATTAACATATTATAACTTTACTTGAGTTAATTGAGAAATTATGTGAAGCGAAAAAGAAAAACCAGTAGCATACAAGCTTCAATAGAAGAGAAGTGATAATATTCCAGACACTAATGTCATTCTTAGGAGAATAGGGTTCTTAAGACAGGAAACTAAAAACCATTATTCTGCCAAGTGATTTCATTAGTGTTGATTGTTAGATGTGTTTATGTGCCGTTTGTTGTGGTGTTTCTATTTTTCATTTTCATCTGGATAATATTGTAAGTTATTTCTCTTCTGCAGTATGTACTGAAAATAACTTTTTTGCTTCTGCCGGATGACATTAGGAAAAACGACACAACAGAAGTACACGAAGACCAGTCCACAAATTGTCCAACCTCTGTTGAGGATCCAGGGAGGTGTAATTCTTGCACTAGTGGAGCTAATACTCGTATGAAAAACATTTGAAGTAGCAAATATAGATAGGCAATTCGAAAGCATCCCTTTGTTATTATTCATAACAAAAGGAAGTATATGAGAAGATAGACATTATCCTTCAAAATATAGATCTTTTATTTAAAGTATATTAGGATAAATGATATGATTATTATTATTTATTAATCATAACTCGACATAAAAAGCCATGTTATATTGGAGACGAGGAAGCACTAGTTAAATATGCCATGTTAGTATGACTTATAAAGGATTATTTAATCATTAAGTTAATATTTTATAGCTAATAATGATTAGAAAGTCTGATACCATGTAAGATGGCCACTCTAGGAACTAAACTTGAGCAACTTGGGATCTTAAATTATTTATAAGTATTTTTTTGCCCACAACTAATAAATCAAAACTAATTTAATCGAGAAAGGAGTCTTAGCACCAATCTTTTATGAAAACAATAGAATGTGAACATAAAATATAAATATTTTTTTATACTAAGATTGAGGTGAGATATGGAATATGAGATACAAGAATTTTTTGTCAAACATTTTTTTTTGTCTCTTCCCGATGCAACAAGGATTGGTATGAAATAATTTTGCTAGGTGCAATCAGAATTGATCATGTCAAATTTGAATTAATTATATCAATATATTTTAATGATTAGAGCTAAAAATTCAATAGCATTACAGATGAATACAAGGTAACGAAGACTCCATCCATTAAACTTCCAACTGCGCAAGGCAAATAGGTCAGTTAGGAGTCTATCGGAGGTTTGAACCTGAATCCGTTACATCCGGATATTTTATCGAAATTACACGCAAAGATCTGATATCATTAATGGTATATGTATACCTCAGGTCATTATATTGACTGCTATCGTTAATCCCAAACCAAATCAATATATTTTATAATCCAAAGATTATAGTCCAAATCACGTTCATATCCATCGAACCCGAACTTGGACACGGTCTATCGCAGCGCAGCCCATGGTGCAATGGACCCGAATCCTCGGCCTACGATGATGTTCGGCCGATCGGCTTCGTCCATCGCCTCTCTTGAACCGTTCCCCCACACCCACACCCCCAAACCCACCCCCTCCTTCCGCCCCCGCGCGCGCCCCCGGGCCCCCACACCCTAATCTACCTCTACTTTTCCCGCACTGATTCGCTCTTCTGTTCTTTCTTTTTCCTCCTTTTTCTTCGGCCCCTTCCTGCTTCTTGGGCCGCTTTGCGTAGCTCTGGTTCTTCCTCCGTCTTTGCATGCACCCAGAGATGTCTCGACCGGTCTCCCTTTTTATCACATAATCATTTCTTTTCGTTTGTTGTCTCTCTCCGTTCCCCAAATCTCTTCCTTTTAAATCCGTCTCGGATTGACTGCTAAATATCTCACTCTTGTAACAGGGCGACGAAGATCTCCTTCGGCAGCTGCAGGAAACCCTAGATTCCGATCCCGATAATCCGTCGCACCATTATAACATCGTACGCTCCGATTATTACATTTTCTCTCTCAGTCCGGCTACCTTCCTTCCCCTTTGATTTTTATTTGTTTTAAATTGTGCAGAACAAGTATGTGGACTTCTCCGTGTCTATTTTATTTTATTTTGTTTCTATTTCTTTAGGGCCTCTTCTTGTGGAAAAAGGGCGAAGCAGTAGATGATCAAGCTGACCAATCGAAGCAATTAAGGGAGAGAGCAGCCGAGCATTTTTTGGCCTCTGCGAAGCTGAACCCTAGTGACGGCGTCGCATTCCGCTTTCTGGGGCATTACTACAGCACGGTTTCCGTCGATGCACAGAGGTCTGCAAAGTGCTACCAGAGGGCTGTCGCCCTTAATCCCCATGATTCTGAAGCTGGCGTGAGTTGTTTTTGTTCCCACTTATTGAACTTGTGTCAGGCTTGTAAACTGTTATACTGAGTATTACCGCGATACGTTTGTTTTATTTGTTAGCCTTTTATTTATGTATGCAGGAGGCGCTGTGTGATCTGCTGGATGGAGAAGGAAAGGAAAGCTTGGAGATTGCGGTGTGTAGAGAAGCATCTGAGAAGTCTCCCAGAGCTTTCTGGGCATTCCAGAGATTGGGATACTTGCAGGTTTTAATGACAATTGCTCTTTGATTTCTCTTGTATATTATTACGTGGTTGTCATTGTGTGCCATGTGTTGCTGGAAGCTATGTTACTATGTTGGTGTTATACTTATTTGTCACATAATTATAGAGGAAAAGAAATATTCCACATATGTTTTATTTGAGTGAAACAAGTTGCACTGGCTGCAACAAAGTTTTATGGATATATTCATGCTGTATCATAAATTTCAGGTCCACCAGAGGAGATGGTCTGAGGCAGTACAGAGCCTTCAGCATGCTATACGAGGATTCCCGGCATGTGCTGACTTGTGGGAAGTGTGTTATTTGACAAGTCATTCTAGCTCTATATTTGACTTTTTAATTTTAAATATCCCTGATTGTTAATTCTGTTATTTCAGGCGCTTGGTCTTGCCTACCATCGCTTGGGCATGTTTACTGCAGCTGTTAAGGTGTGGTCCCTATTTTCTGATATATCTGTCTGTTAAATCTGTTGCTTCCTGAAATTATACCAACGTTAAATCTCTAGGTGCTTTGGTGCCCCTAATAATGTGGGAAAAAAATTTTATGATCAATTTCCCCAATTCTGCTGTGTAATTGTTATCGTGCTGACATTCATTTGCCTTGCAACAGTCGTATGGGCGAGCCATTGAGTTGGAGAACTCAAGAATATTTGCATTGGTGGAGAGTGGGCATATTCAGCTAATGCTTGGTTCTTTCAGAAAAGTAAGTCTTCTGCTTTTTGGTTAGTCTTTTGTGGAAAAGTGAGGCTTGGAACACTGGTCTAAACTTTACTGCTACTTAGGTTTTGTAATAAGTTTGTATGTCCAGGACCACATTATTTTGGTGAAATATGTGAAGTGATGACCACTTTTGTGAATCTTACTTTGAATTTTCTATTAAAGTTTTTCTGGTTCATTCATTTTTTAAAAAATTGTGCAATTAACATTTTTGAGCTCTATTTTATTTCCTATTTCTAGGTACAAGAAAACTGTATCCTTACTGGTTACCTAGGTAAGTGGCCATTGCCAATGGCTTTTTACCTCATGGTTGGATTTGTTCTGCCCAGATAGCACTCAGTACTGAGATGAAGCAATTGAGGTTAGCCTATGTGGCTGCCAATCATTTCTTGTCAATGTAATGGAGTTGCTTTTGTTGGTAAGCTCTTGCCATTTGACAGAGCTCGTCTCCACTTGGTAGGGAGGGATAGTAGAGAGAAGCGGATTCTGTTAAGTGAACTGTCATTCAGGTTACATTGGAATCAACTGGCAGTTGGTTGGTGGGGCCTTTAGGTGGATTCCATTAATTAGGTGATAGCAAGTTGCAAAGCCCACTTTGAAAAGTCAAAAATTACATGTTTTCTAGCAAATCCCATTAAAAGGCTTGTACTACACTCATTCCTTGTATCTAGAGAAAGAGGTGTGTTGTTGTTCTCCTACTATAAGAGAGTATCATGATTTTTCCTTATACTAGAGAGAAGATGTGAATCCTTTTGCCATAGTCAAATCCTTATAACCTTGCCCATGGATGTTTTCCTTAGATTACTTATGGGTTTTACCATGTTAAATATGTTTTGTGTCGAATATTTTTGTTTTTCTCGATTTCAACTTTAGTTGTAGATATTGTTTCATCTTAACACTGTTAATGTTGGGCCCAAGCCATAAAAAAGGTTGAGGGTTGTGTTAGGTCATTGACAGCAAGCAGTGTAAAACTATGCCAGATCTCATGATGACGGCAGAAGATCCACTAGTGAAGTCACTGGGTGCTCAAATGCTCGCCTAGGCGCCTAGGCGCCTAGGCGAGGGGAGGCATGGCTCGAGTGCTTGCCTATTAGGTTGGCAGGGCGACTTTACTTAGGTGCGGTCTAGGCGCTTGCCTGGGCCCAAGCGTTGGTTGAGCCGGGCGTTCGCCTGGTTCAACTCATGCTAGGTCGAGCTTGAGTTCGAGCTTGAGTCGAACCAAATCACACTTTGGTTTGGTTGAACTAGGTAATGCATAATTGCCAACACCCCATGCGAGCTGTGACTTAATGCAAAACTCTCTCTTTCACACTGTGTTTCTGCACGACGGTGAACTTCATCCCATCAATGAACGACGATAGCAATGATGTCTTCCTCCAATGGTAGTAGTGACGTCTTCCTCCAGCGGCAGCGACAACTTCTTCCTCCACTGGCAATGACTATGTTGTCCTCCAACGACAGTGATAGCAGTGAAAGTGATGTCTTCATCCGACAGTGGCTTCTTCCCCTCCCCTCTCGTATATCTCTTTCATTCTCCTCCTCCCTCCTCCCTCCTCCCTCCTACCTTTGGCCTGTTCACCATGGCCCCTCGTCTCCCTCCTCCCCCTCGTCGTAGCCCCCCTTCCTTGATCCCTCTTCCCTCTTTGTTGCTACTTCTCCCCTCTTCCCCTTCCTCTTCCCTCCTTCCCTCTCTATGCGACCAATGTATTTCAGTGATTTAAAAAGGCGCTCGGGCGCTCGCCTAGGCGCTCGGGCGAGGCAAGGCGAGGCCCGAGCGCCTCGCTTCAAAGAGGCACCGCTTGGGCGCTCGCCCGAGCCCAGGCGTTGGGCGCTTCGGGCGAGCGCCTGGGTTAAACCAGGCGACCGAACCAGTGTTTTAGGTCTGGTTCGGTCTCCGGTGCTTTAGTTGGTTCAATCGAACCAACTAAAGGATTGAACCAACTAAAGCACCGATATCAGCCGTCGCTGCCCAACCCTAACCCTGCTCGTTGCCGTTGTCGCCGCTCGTCGCTGTCGCTGCTCGTTATCGCTGCCGCTATTGCTGCTCCCGCTCCCGTTGCCGCTGCCGCTTACTCTTTTCTCAGTTAGCACCCCCTTACACTCAACATTGTTCTCCTTCTGTATACTATTAACAGTATACTAATAATAGTATTTGTATTTATTAGATTAATAATATATTATTTTGATTTTGTATCTTAGATTTTTTTAATTTAATAGCATATTTTTATTTAAAATTTTAAATAATTATATTATATATTTTTATATTTTAGCGTCTCGCTTCGCTCGGGCGAGCGCCTAGCGCCTTGGGCGTTTTTGGACCTTGGCGCCTTTTGGCGCCTAGCACTTTTTAAATCACTGATGTATTTGTTTATTGTTGCTTTTGATTCCTATGGCTTCATTGATTAAGCTCTACTGTCATCCCTACTATTACTTAGAAAAAAAAAAAAGAACTAGATCAAGTGCTTATACCCCTTCAGCCGATGGAAGCGGGTATTCACTGCGCTATTCATCTAGATTGACCCCTTCACAGAACTGAAAGAGAGATCAATGATTTTAGCCAACTCAAACAATCACCGACAACATCTTTTCCCTCTTTATTTGCCATCATAGTTTCCCCCATCCATTGATGTGTTATTTTAGTTTTAGTTTATTTTTATTAATCATGATATATAATTTTTAAATTATAATATTTAGAAGTTCCTTGCTTTGCTCAGGTGAGTGCCTAGCACCTCGGGCATTTTGGGACGGTGGTGATTTTGGTGCCTAGCACTTTTAATTAAGGATTTTAATTTCAAATGATACCGTATGTACCGGGTGGTATGTATCGGTCTGCCAGCAGACTGGTACGTAGATCGGTATGCGTGGGCGGTACCATTGATTGGGGTTGTTTCCACCCCGTCACTGCTCGAAATCGGTCGGTAACGGTCGATTTCGATCGTCATCGCTTGCTACTGGGCGGTATTAGCCGAGGGAGAAGAAGAGGGAGAAGAAAAGGGAGACCTGGAGATCCGATGCCACTCTCCCTTGACGATCCCGATCTGTCGCCGCCCTCCCTTGCCGGACGCCACAAATGAAATGTTGCCTCCTCGTTTGAGGCGATAAGGCCTCCACGTTGTCGGCGACTTCTCCTCATCTGCGTGGGGAGAAGAAGAGGCTTCGCGGGGAGAAGAAATGAGGCGACCTTGC